TATGTTTATTCAAAGAAAAAACAGTTCGTAAAAAAAAAAGGCGGATTACTCTAAATAACTTTTAATTTACTGTTCGAAACTTTACGTTCTAGGACTCAATCTTAAAAGTTTGAAAAAGTGATCTCAAATATGCTATTTAATTAACGCAGACGATATTTTAAGTTACGAAATCAGACCCAAAATCACACTTTCTCTGAATAATTTTACCTTTTTTTCGACGGACTTGGATTTCTGACCCTCAAAATATAGCGATAATGTAAGAAATTTGGTCCCACTAAGACAGTGGTAGAAAATTTGATCGCCTTAATGTTAATTTTACTTTTTGCGTATTTTAACCATCTATCGAGAATTTTTTAAGCGAACTGAATTTTTTTGCTCGCAATTATATTTTAAAAATTAATTTAAAAATTTAAAGCATAATAAAGATTTAGTAAAAGGTAGTTTTTTTTGGAATTTAGCATTAGATAAATGATTTTTATTAGTGTAATGAGCTTTTAAACTGTGCTCTGGAACATAGCGAAAATACTCAAAAACTAAAGTACTGTACAGTGCGCAGGAATCAAAAATATCACCCCGAATAACTTTTTTCCAATGCACGGATATTCACGTACTTAGTGTTAATCTTAAGGGTTTCTGGGGGTGATTTCAAATCTGCTAATTAATTAGTGCTAATTATTAGTTAAGTTACGAAATAACACAAAAACGCATTTTCTCTGAATAAACATATATTTTTTTTACATAGCATTTGGATTACTGACTCTCAAAATGAATAAAATGAATAGTCAAAATTTCAAAAAAATTTGATCAAAATTTTGGGTGCTAAGAAGTAATATATATTTGTCATCATCCCAAAAAGAAGCCAAGAAATATCGCCATAGCGGGAGGAGAAATTTAATATAACCATACTCTAAGTGTGTAATCGACAAGCGAGAAATACTCCGTTGCTAAGCAACCAAGCTGAGAAAGTAAAAAAAGAATCAAATGGAAACTGAATGTTATTCTTCTTTTTTGTGTCAGCTTGGGTCGGATTACAGCCCAAAAAGCAAAGATTGCTTTCATTTTCATCTCCTTTAAAAATAAAATTTGAATCAATTTATAAATTATTTTTAATTTTTCAAGATTTTAGTATCTGAACGCATGGACTTTTTTATAAGGCATTATTTTTATTTTTTAAGTTGTTTTTAAATTCTTTAAATGTGAAGAGTTTCTTCAAAAACCGAATTTGCATTATTTTAATTTTATACCGAGTTGTTAGGGCAAATCACGGAAAAGATCCCATAAAAAATGAAAACTAGCTTGCATTGATTATGATGCACATTCACAAGGTTTTATATAATTCACGATATTTTATTTTATTCTTTTTTTATAATTGAAGAAATTAGTGAATGTTACGTGACATTTTAGAAAGATTGAAATATGTATGTTTAAGAATACTATTTGATTCATTTTTTAAAATATCGTTTCAATCGACCAAATATGTGAGTTACGTGCCTTTCTTTAGATAAAGATAATTTGCAAATAGCATCCTAATGTTTTTATACATTCTGAAACGGATTTTCTTAAATTTCCCATAAAATTTAAAACTTAAAAAATAATTTCATATGCTTAATTATACACAAAATAAATTTTTCATACGTAAAATAGACATTGTAAATTAAATAACAGCATACTTATGTAAATTTCAAATGATAAAAGCAATAAAATACTCAAGAACTGAAGGGGTTTTACACTTTTAGAAGTATTATTTTTTTAATTGAAAAAGTTTTTTACAAAATTTAAAGCATGAAGTATAATTTAATGAGTTAAATTCATACACATAAAAATAGATATGGTTTGAAATTAAAAAAACAGCATGAATGTATAAATTTTAAATAGATTGTTGACTTTCTTTTTAGAAATTTCTGTTAAAATTAATAGTTTTTAAACGTGCTAAAGGCATATGCCTAACCCTTATGATAACAAAAAAAAAAAAGGATTTAATATATTCTTTTAAAATTGACCGGATTTTAACTATCTAAAACTTTTATGAATTTCTAAATTAAGGAGATTTAATGATTTTTTGAACGTTGAAATATGCATTGCCATCAGACATAGAATTTTTGATCACTTCAACTAAAATTATAGTGCTAGAAATAGTTTTAAAATGGTCGAAATTTTAATAAATGATATATTTCTTATGGTGATAATTAGGCAGCAAATTTTGCTTCAAGTGACCAGATTGCATTGTTATTAAGCAGGTATTTTCTAAAAAGTGCTCTAACTAAGCGGAAAGTGGTTGAAATTTCAATTGCAAGATTCCACCAGTACCCGTAATAGAAGATAAATTACTTGTGTATGGTAATTTTTGAGTAAAAAGGAAAGTGAAGTTCACGCAATCTTAAAATTTAATACAGTTTTGTTAAATGTTTTAAGTTATTAAAGTAAAATAAGAATATATAGTGGAACGTCATAGAGTATTAGAAAAACTTTTAAAAAAAAACGTGGGTAGTTTTATTTTAAAACAAGTTATGATAACAAACCGGAAAATCTCCGTAAATTCAGAAAAATGTTATAGAGATAAAAAAAAATTTCTTACTTTAAAAAACATGAGATGATAAATGTTTGCCTGCAGTTGACAGAAAATAAATAATTAAATAAATAAATAAATCAAAAATAAGTATAATTATGCATAAAATAAGAAATAAAAGTGATAGACTAAATAATTAGATAAATAGATTATCAAAAAATAATAATCGATGTAATAAATACTACTGAAACGCTATTTTCTTATTTATTATTTTCCCTAAAATACAAGGTTTTTTAGGTGCTAAATAAAGATTTTTGTCTTAGACAGAAACCTGGTTTTAACTCAACCAAAGGAAAGCATTGAGCAAGTTCCGGGTAAGGTTCAAACATTAAATATATTTTAATTTATTTATGTTAAAGAAAAATATTTGTTGGATGAATGTTGTATCTTGTTTTTCCATTCTTTTTTTTTTTTTAACAAAATATATAAGTTCTTAGTTAAATGCAATTTGAACTACAATTGATGAGACGCGACTGGTAATTGTAAGGAAAGGATAGTTCACGCTATCTTAAAATTTAGTACAGTTTTGTTAAGTAAATTTAAATCAAAATGTTCATGTAGAGGAAATTTATTGAATATTAGAGAGAGAAAAGCATTTAAAAAAAATCTAGGTAGTTTTGTTTTAAAAGAAGGTATGATGACGAACCGAAAAATCTCAGAAAAACCCGAAACAATGTCAGAAAGGTAAAAAAAATGTTTTCCAACTCTAAAAAACATGAAATGATAAATGTTCATGAATGATAATGTTCTTCAGTTGATAGCAAAAGAATATTTAAATAAATAAATAAGTTAAAAAGTAATAAATACATTCATAAAGAAATAAAAGTGATAAACGAAATGAATCTATAAAAATGTAGATAAAAAATAATAATCGATGCTAATGGAACTGACTTCATCTTTTTTTTTTTTTTTTTTTAAAAAAACTAAAAACTTAAGTTTAANATTTTTTTTTTAAATAAACTGAAAAAATTATTAACTATTAATTCTACTCTTGACTACTATTTTTTTAAATTTATTTTTCTACTATTTTTTTTTAAATTTATTTTTCTACTATTTTTTTTACTTATTTTTCTATTGTTTTTTTTATTCATTTTTACTTCCTCAAAGTTATTAGGTTTTTAGGTGCTAAATAAAGATTTCTGCTTTAGACAGAAGCCTACTTCAACCAAAGACAGATATTGAGCAAGTTCACAGTAAGATTTACTATATTATTAATTTTTACTATACACACTATACATTTATTTATTTTATGTGCCCATCTCAGTTTTCTTGACCCTTGAGCTCTGAGGTGCAAGAGCAGATGTTCCGGTTGAGCAGATGTTCAGATTATATTCGCAAAAAAGATCGAAAAAAAAGTGAAAAACAAAAGAAAGAGAAATTTTTTTCATTTTAATAACTTTTCTTCTTCTCTTTTCATTAATTTGAATTATTTTCCATGTTTTTTTCTATATTTTTAACTTATTTTATGAGTTCTAGATAAGTGATTATATAGAAGATTTTCTAAGCATTTTTACGAAACGCTGACGTCAAAGCTTCGTAACAACATCGAAAATAAATGCTGTAATATTAACATTTCTCAAGCTAGAAATTTTTATTAATAGAAAGGAAAAAAAATACAAAGTAATACTTTCTATCTTTTGGTATCCTACTAAGAAGCTTAAATTTTTTATTCATGTATTTATGTTACGGGGAATAAAAAGCAAGTGAAAAAAAATATGAGCTATATATATATGTTAAGCAACTTGTAAGTAAAACAGTTATTCAAGATGTATTCTCTAGTCCCATGTCAACACTAGCCCTTTCTCCTCAACTTTAATAACCATGTGAAGGAAATGGCAAAATTTGAATCATAGTTTGAAATGAAAATAATACAAGATGCAGCCATTAAGACTGTTTTAATAACTCTTAAAAATGCTTTGTGAACTAGCTACTGATTTGTTTGTAAAATGTTTCGAAGAAACCTCCATCTGGTGCAATGCAACTCTGAACTCTGATGTATTAATTTTCAGAAACTTTTAAAGTCATTATTCGGAATGCTTTTCAATTCTGACGTTGGAGATTTTTATCTAAGACTTCGACATCCTTAAACCTTATTCCTTTTACGCTGTTTTTCAGTTTTGAAACTTCAGTTCGGCAACTTATTTGTCCGAAGCTTATGGTGCATAATTCATCGATCCAACCTTAAACATTGTTCCTTTAGCACTTTGTTTTTATTTTCGAAAACAAAAAAAAGTCTATACGAGCTTTGTTTGAAAATTACGCTGAATGATTCACCAATCCAAAATCCGAATTCAAAAACTTTTCATAAGAACAAGGCTTAAGGATGAAATCATTTAGAAAAATCCCAACATAAAAATTAAAAATTATTCCGAAAGAGGGCATTATAAGTTGTTTCTGAAATTTTTCAAGAGTTATTTGATCATCTTCGGAAATTTATGGTCGCACTTGCAATAAGGACTTGTTATTTATTAATTCTATCGTGCATTATTTATTCTTATTCTATTATTTTTTCTAAGCATTTTAATTAAGCAAATTATGCTTTTTTTCACAGAAAAAGACATAATTGTGAAGGTCCATGCAGATGAAGAAGAAAAATGTAAGAAGAGCGTTAATTTCGTTATTAAATTTCTTTAGTTACAGCCTCAATAATTTATTTATTGCATTTATTAATCTATTTAGTTTCAGAAATGCGCCAGTCGTCAACAGCTAAATTGCCATGTCCCGGAGTTCTTATCTTACTGCAATTAAATTGAAAATAATTTTAATTTACATAGTTGTGAAATTCGTTTTATACATAATATACGGCAAAGTTTATCTAATATACTGTTTTGGAGTAAAAATCAAATAGTTTATGTTGTCCCTTACTTTTTTTCACCCAGTTACAATGATTATTAAACTATTTCTGTTGAGACGGCTAAATTGAGCATCATGGCTTCCTGTATGATCTATTTTCAGATAAGGTAGCCTTTTCAAAAATTGGCGTTACATTTTTTGCATTCTAAGAAAATGAAGTTTTGACGAGGATGCTAAAGATGTTTTATTCTATTTCCCTTTTTTTAAACGAGAACAATTGTTTTAAATGTCGAATTACGTCTTCAGTTTTATATAAGCACATCTATGTTTCAATTGATATTGTTCCAGTTACTAGACTTGCAGTTTTTTTTTCTTCCCCCCCCCCCTGTAACTCCTCCACTCTTTTATCATGTTCATGGTAACTTTATTTATTGGCTCATAATTTATTATTTAATTAACTATTGAGTTTTTTAAAAGAAATGAAAGAAGTATTTGTATGATTAAAAATCAATGATTTGTAACGCAAGAACAATTAAAATTTAGCTGTACTGCCAGCTTTCCCCTCTGTTACCTTTTCCCACTCTGTTACCTACCATTTACAAAACTTCATTTTCCTATATAATTTAATAAATCACAATTTTAGTGATTTGCAGTTTAAATTTGACTGAGTGCAAATCATGGACTGTTTCAGGTAATTAATATTTTTAGTTAAACACTTTTGAATATTGGTAAGAAGAGAACATGATGCAGATTCAAGTTAATGTCCTATTAATTATTTTTATTTTATTTTCCAAACCACGCTGTCGTTTTAAGTTTTATGGACAAGAAATATTTTAATTGCACCTAAAAAAATTTCAAGTAGTTTTTCAAATTTTTAGTTTTCAAGCGACTATTTTTTTAATGCTTTTAGGTTTTGAAAATGACTCACACTTGTGTTTTTATTCCCATAATTATTATAAAAGAAGTTAGTTTAACCATAATAATTTTGTATTTATGTTTTTTTTTTCTTTAAGATTTCATCTAAAAATACTTGAGAGTTGGTCTAAAAAGTTATATAGACATAAATAAGTATTTAATTAATAATTTTTCTTTGAATTTTAGTAATTGAAATATTTTTCCAGATTTCGCTATCCGATATATAAAAGTATTATCTTAAATAAGAAATACATGCTAAAATTGGGTGGATTTCGAGAACTAATAGCATTTTAAATCAACGATAAAAACTTAAACAAAGTTATATGCAATACATAGTAAGGGTCATATTATATGACCACATATTATACAGGCCACACATATATAGGGCCCCATATTATATAAGAAACTATGCCTGTAGTGTGGGCCATGTATTGAAATAAAATTTAAGGATAAAAAGAATATAGCGATGAAACTTATTTAATTTCCATCAATTTTTAATCTGTGTAATTATTCATTAATTCATAACATGAAAAAGAATAGGTATTAACTTGAAATCTATAATATCAATGCTAGTTTTTAGATTTATTTTTGATTCTATTAAATCGAAAGCAAAAAAAAGAAAAAAAAGAAATCCCTCACGAATAATACCTCACTTGTCTAGATAGCAAAGTGAAATCTTTTTACTCTTAACTAGTTAACAACGCTTATAAAGCTTCTCTTCCTCCCTTTCCCTTTTACTCACAGGTTTCATATTTCAACCATCTTTTTTTTCTTATTTATTCTACAACGCATGCGAAAAAGAATGAGACTATTCACAATATACAATCACAAAATTTCACATGTACTTTGTACATGTGAAATTTTGTGATTAAATATTGCGAATTGTGAGTGTGAGTGGCAATTAGAAAACTCACTCAATAAATGTAACTCTTTTGAATATAAAGATTTAAAATTTGGGAGTTTGTTTTTAAATAATTAAAAACTTAAGAGATTGAGAACTAATATTGAACATTAAAAATTAAACTGCAAAAAAGCACATATTAAAGAACGCATGTTATTTTTTAAGCGAAGAAAATGAAATAAAAATGATATCGAAATCTGACGAATCAATATTGAGATAATTTGCATTGAAAACATCAAAACTTGTTTGACTGCCCAAGAAAATAGTAATTACGAATATTGCAAAAGTTGCAGTCCCCAGTTAAACTAGCTTAGATATTTTGATTGAATCTTTTTTTAGATTGAATCTTCCTTAATAATAAGTCGTCAGACTTCGGTGTTTTTTTCCCTCCTGGTTTATTCATGCTAAGAGACATACATATTAAGAGTGGTGTTTTAAGAGCACCTTGGATATTTGCACTAATACACGTTTTAATTTTAGGTGGTGGCTGCTGCACCGCAGATTTTCTCAAAATGCTATGCTAAAAAGGTGAGTGAATTTTCAAAATTAAAAATAATGTATTCTATTTTAAGTAACCAAAAATACAAACTAGTTTGACTCCTAGAAACTCAAAACTGAAGTTGATTTAAAAAAATAACAATTCAAGTTCTGTAATCACGCTTAACTTCGAATAATGTTCTAAATTACTAATATACAAAGACCGGCTCCTAATTTCCAGGATTGATCAAATGACTTCCGAAAATATTATTTAAATTGCATACCCATTCAATCATAACTCTTAATGATAGAAAGACTTTAAACTTTTTTCGATTTGCTTCAAAAGTTCTCGAGATCTGGCGAACAACGGAAAAATTAAAATTATCATTAAGGGCTCCAAAATTTCTACAGCTCTCGTGGCCAAACTATTGGGATCTTATTTTTTAGATTACGGCAATTCCCCATATTTTCAGAGTTGGAAAACCAAATCCAACAAAATGACAGAGAAACATCAAAATTAGAGAATGTAGGTTTTTACTTTTCTGAATCCGTAACTCAAAATATCGCCTGCTCTAATTAATGAGCATATTTAAGGTGAGCCACTCGAATCATTGAGATCGAGTTTTAGTACAAGAAAATCTGATCATTAGATCAAAATTAATCCAGGTTGCACCATTTTTTACTTCCTTTCCTGCTCATTGTACTTCTACACAAATTTACAGAAATTTTTTTTATTGGTCTTGCTGGAAATGCTTTCTAATTCTTATGAAGTTTTCTTAAAAACTTATCAATATTATTACGTATTGTTCTTTGAGCAAATTTACTAGTTTTGGTTACCCTGGAAATGAATATGTCTCAGAGAAATCATGAAAACGGAGATTTTTAGCAGATGATGAAACGGAGATAACTCATTTTCTCGAATCAGTCCACAGAGCCATAGTGTCTTAGGGGATAGAGCACTCACCTCCCAATGAGGTGATCCGGGTTCGATCCCAGCGAAAGCTGGTAGATGCGAATTCCCCACCCAGCTCGCTCCCACCACAATGCTGACGTGAAATATCCTCAGTGGTAGACGGATCATAGGTTAGAATCCCTTTGCCGTTAGGCTAACCGGGGGAGGTTCTCGCGTTCTTCCTCATCATGTGAAGCAAATGCGGGTTAGTTCCATCAAAAAGTCCTCCACGAAAGACTAACTTCTCCCAATACTTCATTCAGGAGTTCCCTTGTCTTCTGGATTGGGTTCAAAATTACAAGGCCACGGAGTTGAACATTGGTAGTCGTAACCCCGAAAATTGAGTCAGGCTGTTCAAGGTGAAATATAAATTCATAAAATATCTTCATTGTTAGACGGATTATGGGTTAGAGTCCCTTAAGTTATTGTTAGAGTTGGAGGCACTAGAGTTGCACCATGGGTTACTGGCGACGGTCTGGGAACCACTCCTAAAGATGATCCGAAGACAAACCATCATAATTTTGAGACTCTGTATAGAAGGCCTCATTCGTGAGACCACTTCCTCAAATAAGATATAAATCTGAAGAAGAAGGAAGAAATTTTCCCCCAGATCCCTGTAGCTATGGTGTTGCTCAGCTACCGAACAAAAGATTTTCGATTCCATAGATTTTTAGAACACGTATGTTACAAATACTCGATGGGTCACAGTGGAGTTTAGAATTGGATCTCTCAGTCAGATTCTCTAACCACTAGGCTACCACGGCCCTGTGATAAAGTTGAACTAAATATTATCCTATATATTGGATGCTGGGGACATATCGAACAAACTTCTTTAGTAGTTCTTTGTTATTCAGACCTATTTTATTTTTATTTGTAGGAACTGGTTTCAGGATACCTCAAGTATGCTTCGTTATAACCTTTGTTCATGTTTTCCTGTATATATGTAAATCTGAAATCTTAAATGTTGCACCAACTATTTTCCTTCACTATCTCATCAAGTTAATGCTTATTATTTATATTATGTTATTTGTTTGTTCATTTAGACTTTGATTTACTAATATCATAATAAATATTATATAAGATGCTGAACACTGATACTATTTGTGTAGTAGTAGTTATTGCCACTAAGCAAATTTATAAACTGAATTGTGATATCGTAACTTGTCATAGTTTTTAAAAAATGTTTCCTTTATATAATTATGCTATAAATTATGCCAAGGGGTTTTATACCAAAAATTTTATTTAATAAATGTGCATTATTTGTTTCAATGCATGCCATTTTAAAGAATATCATTCTAAGTACACACAGCTAAATGATATTAAATACTATTATTGATAATGATAACAATAACAATAATTATTAAAAAAATGACATTTGAACAACTTTAGACGTAATTATCAGATTTTTCAGTACACTTTAAATTGCTTATTGTAATGACTGAAATTGCAGAAAAAGTATTGGAAAATTGCTTACTGTATACTGCATCAAATGTATTTATTCATAAAATGATCTTTCAATAACAATAGACATTTTTGAATAAATACTGGAAAATTGCTTACTGTAAAGTGTAACAAATGCATTTATTCATAAAATGATCGTTCTATAATAATCGACATTTTTCAATAAATATTGGAAAATTGCTTACTGTAAAGTGCATCAAATGTATTTATTCATAAAACAATGAATGGCATTTCTGAAAAAATATTGGAAAACAGTTTACTGTTAAGTGTACAAAATGCATTTATTCATAAAATGATCTTTCTGTATTATCACTGATATTGTTCTATTTTAATCATTATTTGTACCATTTGTGTGCAAATAAAATAAATGTTTCCCGAAAGAAATTGTCTGTGTTCATAGAGTAACTTCTTAAATTTTTATTTCTTACGTGATGTGTGATAAAAAAGCATTGGTGCTAAACACCTTTGAAATCTTACACTTTCTTCTGAATTTTTATACCTTGCACTATATGAAAAACTTTAACCCTTATAATTTACTTTAAAAAACGAAAATTAAAACCAGTTTTAAATAAAAAAAAAAACAGCTTTAAATCGTTTTATATACAGGGTGTTTATAAATTCCCGGACCCATTTAGATGTTTAATAACTCATAAAATAACGAAGATATTATATAAACAAACTTATGGCATTTATTGATGGAATAACTCATATATTTTCCTTTTCAGGTTTGGATATCTTTAATTTTGTAAATATCGTCTGCGCGTGTGGCTAATTTAAGATAATTTCATTTTCCAGTCTAAATATCTGTACTTTTCTAAATATCGTCTGCTTATTAATTGCATTTTTCTCTCTTTTGTTTTTGGCAACTATTGCAATGTTATGTTTACTTTTGATGTGTTTGTTCTATTTTACGATTATNCATGGATGACCTAAAAGCCGAATTACAACCACAATAGCCTCTGTGGATGCCGACATGCTAGCCGCTACCTGGCGTGAAATTGACTATCGACTTGATATATAAGCTTAGAGAGTAAGCGTAGAGATATTCTATTTTGGGAATTCAACATACCATTGAATAATAATTAGATTTATATTTCAAAGGAGGAGTTATTTTTAGAATCTTGTCCCTCTTTCACTTCCATATTAGGAAGCATTAAATGATTTTCCATAATGCGTAGAGTTACAATGGCATGTACGACTGGAACGGAAATTCATTGACAAGGGCCTTGAAACTTTTTGATTTTATCTAACCATTTAACTTTAATCTAAGTTTATTATTTTATGAGTTATTAAACATCAAAATGGGTCCGGGACTTTATAAACACCCTGTATTTTGAATAACTAAATCGTATTTCACGAGTAATCTTAATCATATTGATTAGGAACCGTTAGCTTTATTAGTCACGTGTTTTAGCAAAGCATTTCTAAAATATGGATTAATTAATTATATGATAGTCATCAGTTTTTACTGACATAATGTTTTTTTTTAAATTTTAAATTAGTCCTTTTACTATTTTGATATGTTGCTTTTATTTTAATTTGATTGTATGGAATATTTTTCAATATTACATATGACTGCGTAGTATGTAAAATTATAATAATAAAACGGAGAGAAGTTTGTCAATTGAAATAATACCAATTTTTTAAAATAAAATAATTGTTGCCGTATCTGCTATCATTTTCACCGTAAACTTGAATAACTCACGCAGAGTAAAAATTCTGGTAAAATTACTTAACTGTATGTACCACATTTATAGCTTTTCTGGTTAAAAAAAACCCATAACTGTGGTTAATAAAACCAAAGTATAAAATATTTAAATTATTCATTTGGAAATTTTTCCTTTAATATGTTAAGGGCTTACCGGAAATTCTGGTTTTCTAAATTATCCTTCTTATCTACACATATTTAGTAAATAAATGCAAAAAGGAGTAAATTTTATCAATTAACTGTTTTTATGTCATGCTCTAAGGTATCATGATAAAATTACCAAATTTCATCGCATATTACGAAACCATATTTAATTGCTTATTCCACCAAAATCATTTCCAAGCAGCTTAGGTAAAAATTGCCGAGTTTTTTGAGAATTCCTGTAGAGTCAAAAACACGGTAAATTTTACCATATTTTGGTAATTTTGACCATATATTTTTCTTAGTGTAGATAAATATTTAATGAAGCATGTATAAGAGATATGAAGTTAAAATCGAGAATGTTAGAAGCATAATAAACACAAACTAAGTAACATTTATAATTTATGGTTAATGTAAACTCGAATGATGTGTTTCGCTTTTATGATCCTAATATTTTACTGTGTAAAAATATTTCAATTTTGATTCACATTATTTTTATTATTAAATTTATATATTTACCACGTTTATATTAACTTGCCTTCGTGTATGTCTGTGCGGGTGGAATTTTGTAATCGATTTTTAACTAACTTCCCGACTAGCTATATACAGGCTTCAAATTTGTCGCATGGCATAGAATTGGATGACAATGCATGAAAATGAAGAGAAAGAAGCTATACAAAGTAAAATAAAATTAAAGAAAAATTAATGTTTTCGCTATTGTCTTTTGTTGTCGATTCGATTATTTCAAATTAGTGTCACATGTCAGTTGAAAAGTTTTGTGTACAGTGAGTGAAAAAAATTGAGATTTTGGAAGTGAGTACGAAAGAAAAAAAATCAAAATAAAAAAATAATATTTTTACAAACCAGGTTTTCTAGTGGAGAATAATAATTAAAAAATAAAAATTTGAAAAACGAAATACATAACAGTAGGGGAGAGTGGGGTCAATTGTAACAGAACAAAAATTTCGAGTGACGGGTTCTAGATTTGGTTTCTAGGTCGCGCACAAGGTGTATTTAATAAATCTACATGTACGCCCCAGCTGGCAACCATTTTCATGTACTTTTGAAAGAGTTACATCACAAAAGTTATTTTCACGCTACGTAAGTACTTTTTTTGGTATTAGAATATTATATTGTAACAAAGTAATTTCGTTTAAGCAAATAAAAATTATTAACCGAATATGTAAGTGGACACCTTAATTAACATTTAAAAAAAAAAAAGATTAGTTTTGCTAATTAACTAGCATTGTTTTTAACAAATGAAGCTGAAATGGCGTCTTGGGGACAATTGTAACAATAAGTAAAGGGACGATTGTAACAGCTGAAAATAAATAATCTTATGTTTACAAACCATTACTTAACTCTTTAAGAACCACCAATAGTTTCCTATATCATTTATATTATGTTGCATGTGCATTATTTTATTTGTCACCTTTCACAGCATAAATTAAAATTTTTAACCCCTTAAAGTTAAAAGTTTAACCCTTTAGGTCTCTGCTCATTATTATTTTTACTCCTAAAATATCACTACTATTTTGATCAATAAAAAAATATATCACAACTATGATAATATGTATAATTAACTATGTTTTAGTTGAATTTATGAACTGTTACAATTGACCCCGTAAGTGGGGACAATTGTAACAAGTGCACGACTGTCAAAAATTGTTAATAACTAATATAATAATATTTAAAATCAGGTTTTTATTTTTTTTCTAGTAGAGGATAGTCTGCTTTACTCGTCTGTCAATTAATACTAATAATATATTGGATTTTTTGTTAGTTAAAAATAGTTAAGCAAAAAATGTTACAATTGACCCCACTCTCCCCTACATATACACATTTTCTTACTCATACACCTGCACATCCACATATATACATCCACATTCAGATACAATTACAGATATACATACGCATATTCTCATGTGCACACATATACACAAATATAACATTACTGTTATGTATTTCATGCACCCCACGTTTTTCAAATTTTTATTTTTTAATTATTATTCTCCACTACAAAAACGTGGATTTTAAAAATATGATTTTTTTATTTTGATTTTTTTTTTAAATTTTCCCTTTCTGGTAATCGTTAATCAGTTGTATTTAGTCGCTTCAGCTTAACTTTTTCATGGACTTAAGAGATTATGTTTTACTGTCTTATTTTGTCGAATTACATTCTTTTCAACAGTACCCGCGTGAAAGAAGACATCCAGGTATTACTTGGAGGGTATTACTCTTTTTATTTTAAAAACGAAAGCATTATCAGAACATAATCCGATTGGAATCCGTTAGTCTTTTGAAACATTCGCGAGCAAGATACAGAATTAATGGCTTTTCGACCAGACCGGAGCCGCATCAATATAGTGTTGAAAGATAATATTTAAGAGAATAAAGTAGAGAACTGAACGTTTTGGAACACAGAGAGATTGAGTAACATGAGTCTTAGTTCTTTTATTTTTTTTTCTCAGTTCTTTTCAAAAGATATGTGTTCATTTAAGGATTTTTTTAATGCCGCAACACTGTCAAAGATTTTAAAAAATAATATATATTTTTTTTAATTTTGAAGAAGCGAAATAACGAACCTTTTGAATTGAATCATATTTCTTTATTAAAAATGTTTCACTTCACTACATTTAAAAGTAAAATATATTCATATCACTATTATTATTATGATTCTGAGGATATTGAGTTTCGCAAATTTTTATTTTGATAAGTTGAATATTTTTTTTTTATCTCGTAATATAAAACCACAGAAAAAACATCAAATAATAATAATTTAAAAAAATATATTTTCTCTGTTTAAACTGCATTTTAGTTCGGAGCATGATTGCGTAGTATTCATTAAATTTTTTTTTAATTTATTAGGTATTTTTAACCCCTATGAATGGTTGATATTCAATTAGTACTGTTAAGTAATTTTTAGAAAATTAAAATGAGAACAAAAATAAATTGTAAGCTTTCAAATTTTTATCCTTGTGTTTATATTTAGAGTTGCGCAGCTACTCTTTGACAGTTTATCAATTTATCTTCGACAATTTTCATTGTTGGCGAACTATCTGCGGGTGTTCAGTGGGTAAGGAGTAAAATATGTTTGAAAACGGTTATTTATATAAAAATTCACGAGTGAAATATCATATTACTAACTGAATATCCATTCTTTGTATTGAAAATAACGAATCAGTACTGAAAAACTCATACGACTCAAAAACTCAACGAAATGATATACAAAACTGAAAAAAGAAATACCGACATAATTAATGAAGCTAAAATAATTACGTATTATTTTATTTGTTATTATTTTTTGCAATAACTGGTGACTTTACGTTATGGGATTCAGAAAAGCACTTTTAAGTAGCTCATCCCTTCAAAATCCATCCATCCTATCAAAATTAAGATTAACT